AAGCTTTAGTTTCATTAGTTTCATAGTACGTTCTCCTCTGTGCTGCATTGCCCATTGACTGATTGATTGTATTGCATTCAAGATGCTGTGCATAGTACTCCCCCTTTTCATTTCATCGCTACAGCAACCCTGTGAGGTAGGATAAGCTGAGAGGCAGTGATTGGCCCAATGAGAACCCTGGTCTCACAGGTCCTAGTCCCTTTCTCCACTAAACCCTTGGATGCATGTGGGGTCAGGAAGGGAAGTTTGCCCCATCTCTAACACTGCCAGAACAATGCAGGGGCCTCTCAAACAGAGAAAACATAAATGGATAGACTCCTCCACCTGCTCTTACACTCTGCTTCCAGTGAGCCAAGCTGCCTGTGTTCACTGCATCCACAAACTGAACGGCAAACTCTTAGCGAATACAATACAGTCACATTTCCTTAGCCCATTCATTTTCATTTCTCCCTGGAGGTGGGCAAGGATTATTCACATGTTATAAGCAAGAAATATGACTTCCGCAAGGCCATCCACCAAGGCTGGGCCAAGCTGCTTGTAAGGTTTTTATTCAAATGAATCACCTCGGTGGAATAATTGTATCTAATTTATGCATATCTAGAATCCAGTACAAATGTCAGCTTAATTTAACTGATAATTATCAGCCCGTCATTATTCTCCTAGAATGTTTCACAAAACATGTGCACATTTCTGAGCCCAACATGACCATTTTGTTGGAAACAAGAAAAGGAAGAAATGCATATATTCAGCTCCACCCTAACCACACATTGTTTTCTTAACTAGGAAACTGGAGCCATGAGTGGCCAGAAATCAGTTTTTGTTGTTGTTACTAATTTTATGTATATATAACAAAGCTCTCTTCCTCTGCAATAGCTTAGGTGTCTGGAAGCTAACACTCAAAACCAGAGCTGAGCTGAAATTTCTCAGAAGACTGTTTTCTTCCCTCCAGAAAAAGGCCACTTTGTGAAGATTCTCTACAAGGTTTTGTGGTGGCTGGCCATTCCCAATGCTCTATAATGATGCAAGATCCAGTCATTGTGGAGGAATCAAAACAGTCACCAGGTATTTTGTTCTGCTGGGGGCTTGTGGAGCTTACCAGAGCTGCTTCTGGGCAGGGTGAGGAGAGATGAAGGCAAGGCAGATCAGACCCTTGGGTAGCTCTGGTGGCTGAGCAGTGGAATATGTTGTCTCAGCAAAGGACCAAGGTCATCTAAAAGCTTCAGAAGACTGGAAGGATCTGCCCTTCCAATGTCTACACCCGCTCAGGGAGCTGCCTGAAATCCTTGAAGGACCCATAGCTGATTCTACAGTCACATATTTCTGTGTGACTGTGGAGCAGGAGAAGTAGACAGATCCATCTTCATGCTAGGGCAGTGTCAAAGGGGATTCTCAGGCCTGTCTTTTCAAGTGCAGTGACCATAGATGCTGGCTCCAGGGAACTCTTTGGGCCCCCTCAATCTTTTTTTGAGGGGGCTTTCCCCCATTTTTGAGGACGAACGAGGAGCCGGGTGCAAAGGGACGTCAGGACTTCATGTGCGTGACACCAGGGCATCATGTTGGGCCCCTTCAATGTTCTTCAGAAGATGGCACCTCTGGCAGTGACCTCCAAATGTGAGTCCTCCTTGGGCTGACACTGAGACTCAGATAAAGGGGTTCCATTAGACGCTGCATACTAGGACTTCCAAAAAGCTTTTAATGAAGTCCATCTCCAAAGACTCCTGAGTAAACGTAGGAGTTATGGGATAATACAACAAGCTTTCTTATGGATTAGTAACTGGAGTAGTAATTGAGACTCTTAATTTCAGGGTTTTGGGTTCAAGCCCCACATGGGGCAAAAGATTTCTGCATTGCAGGGGGCTGGACTAGATGACTCTCGGGGTCCCTTCCAACTCTATGAATCTATGAAATCTCAACACATCTCAGAAGAGCAGCTCTGTATTTTCTGCTGCAAAACCAACTCAATAAATATCAAGACACCATGGGCAAAGATACAAATAGAAAAATATCGACGGAATATGTTTACGAAAACAGATAAATGTCAAATAGAATTTGGTGACTGCAGTAAACATTCCCAACTTCCCCAGACTGTTAGGAAAATCCAGAGAAAATGTTCCTCAGATGTTACAAGCTCATTAAACTGGGCATGCGTGTGAACCAAAGGGACCACCTTATTATGCAAATACACTTGGCTTTTCCTTCAGCCCAACATAAAGCAAGTACTTTGAGTTGATACTCTGATGTCTGTCACCACCCACCAGTTCTGCAGTGTTCCTTATACAGATGCACAAACATAAACAGCACACACAATCCCAGATTAGAACAGAACAGCAAAAAAAGCAAACAAACCTGATTGGAGAATTTTGCCATGGGGAGAAAAAAATGACAGCTGATTCACAGAAGCTCCTCAGAAGTGGAGACAAGAAACCTGGCGCTTGTCTCCTGAACAACACCGCCATCTGCTGCCCAATTTCAATTGGTTGGGTTTTTTTTGGCCAGATCTTAGCAAAACGTTCACATCCAGAACCACAGTCTTAAGACTTTATGGAACACACACCTCTACAAACAAAATTATAACCTATAGTGCCTCCATCATCACATTGAACTGGTTGCAATACCTTTTTTTTTTTTGTACTGCATGAGCAATCAGAAGATTCAGACCAACTCTTGCAAATCTGATTACTTAGAATCATAGAGTTGTAAGAGAGTCTGAGGATCATCGAGTCCAACCTAATATGCAGCTGTCCCGTGTGGGGATCAAACCTGCAGCCTTGGCATGACTACCAACATGCTTTAACCAACTGAGCTATTCAAGAAGAGAAGGCTAATGGGACAATTGCACTTTTGTTATTGTGTTTTTATTTTTAAGCTATTTTAGTTAGCCATTTAAGCTGTAATCCTAGCCATGAATTCAGCTGGGCTTACAGATAATTGGGGTCAGCTTTTAAAAAAGAAGTATATAAATATTATAGATAGATATGTTACTGGCGAATACCCAAGAACTATGTTTTATTTATTGCATTTTTATCTCACCCATCCTCAAAAGCGGCCAGAGGAGAATGAATGGTTCTCCCACAGATTACTTTCACAACAACCCTGTGAGATAGGCTAAAGTTGGGAAACAGTACCTGCTCCAAGATCATTCAATGAGCTTCGTGTTTCATGGCTTTATTCCTTGGGAATAGGATTGAAAGATGGCATAAAATTACTTAAATGAATAATGGGTGTGGATTTGATCCCAGTTTTCCCCAGTCCTAGTCTAACATGTTAACTACTACACTGTGCCGATTCTCCTGGCAGGGGAAATGATGTGGTTTCTTACTGTGGAAGATGCTCTGACTTAGGATTTTGCCATGCATCAAAAGATGTGGGGAAGTTGGACTGGATGCCCTCTAGGGGCAGGATTCACTTAACCTGTCAGTGGAAGCCCTCTGCAAGGACTTGTTGCGGGTGCTGCTGTGGTCTAAACCACTGAGCCTCTTGGGCTTGCTGATCAGAAGGTAGGCAGTTCGAATCCCCGTGACGGGGTGAGCTCCTATTGCTCTGTCTCAGCTCCTGCCAGCCTAGCAGTTTGAAAGCAATGCCAGTGCAAGTAGAAATAAATAGGTACTGCTGCGACGGGAAGGTAAATGGCGTTTCCGTGCACTTTGGTTTCCGTCATGGTGTTCAGTTGTGCCAGAAGCAGTTTAGTCCTGCTGGCCACATGACCCAGAATGCAGTCTGTGGACAAACGCCGGCTCCCTTGGCCTGAAAGCGAGATTAGTGCCACAACCCCATAGTCTCCTTTGACTGGACTTAACCACCCAGGGGTACTTTACCTTATCTTATGCAATGGGGCTTTCCCCTCCCATGCCCCCTGAAATTGGGTCTGGGGGATGTTTGGAGATCTCCCAGAACAGGGGACAAGTTGAAACACTTGCACAGATGGAACAATTTCAAGAGTGTAATGTTGACTTCCACCCAGGGATTCCATGAAAACAGTAAACTAGAAGTGTTACTGAAAAGGTGAAAGAGAAATTCTTAATGCTCTGTTATCATACTGAGACAACATTAAGAATTTCTCTTTCAACGTTTCAATAACACTTCTAATGGCATGAAGCTGAGGATAAACAAGACTGTGTTCGTGTTACACTTGTGTATGTGTGAATCTGCCAGTTTTAGTTTCACTTTTCCAATATTGAATTCAATTCTCCACATCAGTTTGTTATTTATTTCTAATTTTTAAAAGATGAATAATAAAAACATGAAAATTCATTTACATTTTTGTGTGAATTTCTGCTAATGTACACATTTTTGCAAACCAATTGTCTCAAGTATAGTGCATTAGGTAGGTTATTTTTCAGCAATCTGTGCATTTATCTGCACACTTTGTCCTAGTATATGCATTTTACTTGGCTGGAGAATGGGTGGAATCTACACACATATAAAAACTGTTCTGAAATGGTTTTTTTTAAGCCTTTTAAAAAATACATTGAATTTTCCATAAGGCTCGCCATCACCACCTATTTTCACATTGTATATTGCACTTAAAACACACTTAAAACATTTGATTTGCAGCTGTATAGCTGAGTCTCTGCACCACAACATACACAGAATTTGAAGAATTTCAATGGATGCCTTGTGTTTCATTTGGTTCATCTTTTTTTTCTTCAGAAAATGAGAATTAGTTTTAAGTTTGCTTTTAAATGTGAACTAAATCACATCCCCCCCCCCCATTTTATGGCACACTTTGCACCCTGTAGAGAATCCATACCTTTCTCCTCCCTCTCTTCCCTCCGTCCTACAGTGGCCTCATGAAGCCATTGGTGAATGTGAGTAACGTAGATCTGTCCCACTCCCCTGCCTTTCCCATTGTGACTTGGCATAATTCATAAAGCATGTCATGTCACGTTTTGAAAGGCCTTTTTAACCACAATCCCCTATCCCCTATATAGTGAACACGCAGTGCCTTTGAAACTCTAATATGTGTATTTAATAGACAACAAAAATAAATATGGAATTCCTTTGACTTCTGTTCTCTTGCTCAGGTTGCAATTCCCTCTCTGTTTTTTGGGCTCACTGGTACTTTGCAAGATTACTTTAGATTGAAGGAGCTGTAAGATCTGGATGCATCATTAATTATTTAACATGCATGGGAGATTATTATGTTTCAAGCCTTCCAAATCAGCAACAGGAAGCTTTGTTCATATATCTTGTATCTTGGGACCTTTGTGATATTTTTGTGGAGGAGGAAAAAATCAAACAAACCTCTGCTGTCTTTTCAGAAGGCTGCATCCTACCGCCATGTAAGCTTTCTTCTGAACAAATGCTACTAAGGTTATTGGTTAAGAAGGAGAAGAAAGATAAGAAAGATATTTGCAAGGATACAAGGAAAATCTTTTTTAAAACTCCCCTCCCATTTGCTTTGCAATGTGTAAATTCGGTGGAGGAAACATATCTCAGCCTATGTTTTGTCCTTATTTTAAAACCTTTTGAGAAAATTTCAGTGCTGGCTGTGGAATCTTGGTACCACTATCAGGACAAATATTTCTTATTGAAAGTCAGAAGGACAACCATATAATTTATTGCTCGTATGGGGAAATAGTGGGCCAAGTATCCACTGTGGGGAGACAGTGAGTGCATAATTTCAGCCCTTGAATTCACACACATTTTTGATGACAACAGTGGTGGTGTGTATCCAATGAAGGACAACAATGATTATTATAAATAGTTACAGAAACTGTGATAGCAGCACAATAAGCCCTAAACGGCCTCGGTCCAGTATACCTGAAGGAGCGTCTCCACCCCTATCATCCAGCCCAGACACTGAGGTCCAGCGCTGAGGGCCTTCTGGCGGTTCCCTCACTGCGAGAAGCCAAGTTACAGGGAACCAAGCAGAGGGCCTTTTTGGTGGTGGCACCAGCCCTGTGGAACACCCTCCCACCACATGTCAAAGAGAAGAACTACCAGACTTTTAGAAGACATCTGAAGGCAGCCCTCTTAAGGGAAGCTTTTAATGTTTAACAGACCACTGTATTTTAATACACTGTTGGAAGCCGCCCAGAGTGGCTGGGGAAACCCAGCCAGATGGGCGGGGTATAAATAATAAATTCTATTCTATTCTATTCTATTCTATTCTATTCTAAGTGAAAACTTACCTGCTGCAAGGAGGGCTCACTGCAGGACAGCATGTTGGCTTCTGCTGAATCCTTGCACCTGAGACATCATGCACATGAAAAGCAACATTCAAGGCAAAAAGAACAAAAGGAAATGTACCGGTAGTTTCCATAGATACTGATGACCCTACTATGAGGTCAAGGTCCACCTTCCATTGATTTTTTTTCCATTCAGGGCATTGCTGTGGAAGCTCAAACAGTTCAGTGGAGATCAGACAATGTTGTTGGCTTCTCTCTGTAGTAGCTTCTAGGTTAGTTTGGATGGGAGAGGGGAAGAGTGCATCTGGAAGGTCAGGAGAACGGCAGAAACCTTTACAAGATGGGCTTAAACTTTGGAAGGCCTTGATGGGAAGAGACCTGAGATCTTCAAACTCTGCAAGTTTATTTCTGAAGCTTTGGAGTCATCACTGTGTGTTTGATTTTTCTAGAAGCAATATAACAGTACGGGACTGATACAAGGGGAAATGACTAACACACATCCTGTTGAAAATTGGTTAGTTGCAGCTAGTTGAAGAGCCATCAGGTGGTCGGCACATGTGTGGCTGTCAAATGGATTGTCATGAACAAATTGTAGCCTTGTCAGTCTCACATGTAATTGAAACAACCCAACATGTAGGCAAGTACTGATTTCCCTTTCTAAAGCTCTCATCAGTCTATGATTGAAGCTGGTTCAGGTGTATCAGCTGTTGGCATCTGTCATCAGGAATGTCTTATATCGCCTAATGCTAGCAAGCTTCATAGTTGGCATTCACCAGTCCAAGCACATTTGGCCAGCCAAAATAAGACAAATTGAAAGTGTGTTTGATGAGCAGCTACATCCCAGCAGGATCACTTTTACCAGCCACTTTCCCCTTTGTTTTGCTTCCTGACACCATCCTGAGCAGTGACATGGGGGTGCACATGTGACTTGAAGATTATGGAATCAGTGGTGGCGTGCAGAAAGACCAAAGGGGCTCTAGGTACTGAAGGAGGTGTTTAAAGCGGAGATAACAGCTTGCTTCTATCAAAGTTTGGGGATGTGAATCTAGTATTTTTCTTTTAGAGCCATCACACAGAAATGATGACAAAATGGCCTACTGTGATCCTGTGGTTATGAAAGTCCATTCAGGCTACAGGCTTTGCTGAATGCTTTCCCTGCATGTAGCTTTTCATTCCTGCGAAGATATGAAAGTGCACTGTGGAAATGTGAAATGGACATCCAAGATATGCTGTATTTAATCAGCGAGAGACTTCATCAAAAGCACTGTGTGCACATAATGCCCAGAAGTTATGTGCTGAGCTAATGACATATGAGAAGAGAGATTATACACTTTCCAGGAATCCCTAAATATACTATTTGTTAAATTGGGTGGCGCTAGCAGTGAAGTGACAGATACCACCGGGGAAGTAAAAATAAAATCCATGTAAGAACAACAAAGGCTTGCATAGCCTTCCTGCAGTTCTGATGGATAGTCCTGTTGTTTACCCCAATGAGAGTATTTTGGAATGATACCTGTGGAGGGAAAAAAGTGTGAGAAACTATAATAGTCTCACGACTCAGAGTTCAGTAGTGGCCAGGACACTGAGGAACTGGACCAGGTTCCTATCTCAGCCTAATATGGATGATCAGGGACCAATGAACCTGAGACTGATAGGGAAGGAACTGCCCCACCAAAACCAAGTTGAACCATTCTACCAGAATCTGTCTCCTTCCCAAAGCAGGAGCAGTTCTGTCTTGCCTGGATTGAGTTTCCTGTTGACTCTTGCCAGAGGATCTTTCCACTGTAACATTGCTTGATTGCACATCTTCATGCAGGTAATGTACTGAGTTGCATTTTCAGTTTAATGGGGTCTCTAAGACATGGGTGGTGCTATGGGATAAACCACAGAGCCTAGGACTTGCTGATAAGAAGGTTGGCGGTTCGAATCCCCTTGATGGGGTGAGCTCCCGTTGCTCGGTCCCTGCTCCTGCCAACCTAGCAGTTCGAAAGCACATCAAAATGCAAGTAGATAAATAGGTATTGCTCCAGGCGGGAAGGTAAACGGCGTTTCTGTGCGCTGCTCTGGTTCGCCAGAAGCGGCTTAGTCATGTTGGCCACATGACCTGGAAGCTGTACGCCATCTCCCTTGGCCAATAAAGCGAGATGAGCGCTGCAACCCCAGAGTCGGTCACGACTGGACCTAATGGTCAGGGGTCCCTTTACCTTTACCTTAAGTCCTTATGTTTGGTTATATTTCCCTAGTGCGTCCAAATCAGGGGTGGGGAAACTCATGTCCAAGGGCAAATGTGGCCTTGCAGGCCTCTCTCTGTGGACCTTGGGATGCACTCCATGGCACAATCGACACAATTGCTTCCCCAAGTTTTGCCCCTGCCCCTACACACCAGTGGCCCCTGGAAGATGGTCCATGAGGGAAAGTGGCCCTCAGGCTGAGAAAGGTTCCCTAGCCCTGATGTATGCAGAATGAAAACTCCATGTGCATGCTTGCCATGTGGAGTAATCGACACATGTATTTCTCATTAATTCTCCACATTGACCTCTAGCAAGCTTCTGTCCTCCAGATGTTTTGGACTACAACTCCCATCAGCCCCAGCCAGAATACTTCCATTTTGGATTTATTGTAACATATGGAAAGGAGAGGCAAGTAACTCTTTGTCATGTGCTGAGGCATTTGGATGCCTCAATAGGACTAACACATGGAAATGCTTTCCATATCACATTACTGGAATAATTACTGCATGTACTGTTTATTTGACTTCACATGGTAGGAGTTTTAAACTGCTTTTTAGAAGGTTGTTTTAAATTGGGTTTTTCTTTAGAAGGTTTAATTGTACAGTTGTACCTTGGTTTTCGAACAGCTTAGTTCCTTAACATTTTGTCTCCCGTTCTGATGTGACTGTTCCGGTTTGCGAACTATTTTTGGAAGCCGAACATCCGACAGGGCCTCTGAGGCTTCCAATTGGCTGAAGGAGCTTCCTGCAGCCAATCAGAAGCCATGACTTGGTTTTCAAACGTTTTGGAAGTTGAGCGGACTTCCGGAATGGATTCCATTCAGCTTCCAAGGTACGACTGTATTAGTATTGATATGTTCACTGCCCTGGACTCCTCTGGAGGAAGATGTGTGTATAAATCTAATAAATAAAATAAATATTAGCATATTTCTGCTGTAACATAGTTTATTAATTTTAATATAGTTTATTAATTTATTCAAGAACTATTTTGGATACTTATTTTCCACAATTTTTGAATACATGGTTTGCCTAGGATTGCTTCCTTGTATGTGAAAATTGTGATTTTGTCTGTGGTTTTCTCTTTTACTTTCAGGCCATGGATCTTAGAGGATGTAGCAGTTCTAATCAATCTTGAAAGAATCATTACACTGAACATTTTGTCCATCTTTCTGCAGGGAACAATCACAGAAGCTATTACACTCTACAAAGATATCAGAATGAGGAAAACAAAGGGGTTTTAGTGCGACAGTACTAACCAGGATGGAGTACCAGCACCCCATTTTTTTAAAACCAAAAAGAGCAGAGTAAAACAGTTGTATTTGTGTTACAGAAAGCTGTGGATAGAATAAGCTAATAGTATGATGTCATTTATAAACTGAGATCGTACATCAGAAGGAGTGTAAATCTTCTACAAAAGTTTCAGGGGAGTAGAGGGTGAATCATAATGCCTATCCCAAAATCCATTCTTTCCCCTTCAGATTCACTAAAGTTTCTAAGTTCATTCCAAATTCCAATTTTGGGAGACAACTGCATTTACTTTCAGTCTCAAAACTGGAGGAGTCACGGCATCCTTAAAGTATAAAAGCCTGGAATAATCACTGTTAAACAGTGGGTGTACTAAACAACCTCCGTGGTTTCAAAAACAATTTAGATAGAGGTATTAAGGACGTGATTTTGAATACTAGCCCTAGAGATGTGCATCCTGAGAAAAGGATCAGTTTTTCTCCTGTTCTCTACTTCTCCATCTGTAAAATATAATAATACTTAAGTTCCTGAATATTTCACACACAAAATTCCTGTTTTTGAGATTTGGTTATTTTATTTTTGCTATTGTGTGAACAGGAGACTCAACTAAAAAATTGTGCTGAGTTTTTATCCTATATCCTGCTCCTATTACAACGTGTGGGGATGACAGAATGTGGATGTTTAACTGAGAATGTTTTGTCAGTGGACAATTGATGTGGCATTAATTTGACTGGGGTGGAATCCACACACATCTTAAAAATGTGTGAAAATAAAAACCGTATTGAATTTGCTATAGCTCACAGTCGCCACCTAGTGTCACAATTGTACATTGCACTTTACAACACATTCAAAACGTTTTATTTGGAGCTATATAGCTGAGTCCTTGACTGTTTTGGTGGTTTCCTGCTCCAGTACACCCTCCTCCTGCTTCCTCCTCCTCCTCCTCCTTCTCCTCTTCTAAGGCACCAATGACTGCCTCAGTTAGATGTTGACATTGGTGGACTTATTTGAGAGCTGGGGCGCCTCATGTTTGGACATCCAAATAATGTGGGACTATGGCTGTTATCATCACTGACTGGAGACTCGACTACATTAGTAAAGAAAAAGTGCTTTATATGAGTTATAACCCTGTGACACCAGAAGGTGCTGTGGAGTCCCGTCTTTGGCCAACAGGATTTCCCTTTATGTTTAACTGAATCACTTTTTTTAATGTGTCTAGATCCGGTCTGGGACTGTTGGGAATTGGAGTCAAACAACAAGTTCTAGAGGGTCTAGAAAATAATCTCCTAGGAAGGTTTGATAGATGGATTTTGTTTTACATGCAGAGCTTTTGTTATAGGACTGGAAAGGAATGTTTCCCTGCACTGGATTGACTATCAACTATTTATTGTTTTCAGTCTGTCTGTGTGGCTTGCCTCCATTTGGATTATTTTACCAAACCATTAGTTGAACAGCACACTTTTAGCATGGGACACCTTGTTTCTACCTGTTCTCTATTGGGCAGATCTGTGGGATGTAGACTGATTGTGGAAGAGTTTGTACTCTATGTTAAGCAGGATCTGCCTTCTGAGAAAGAAAGCCTGCACTATATGATCTTTCTTTGTCTGGGGTTGAATTCTTTTCCATATTTAAAGAAATAGGACTACAATCATTCAGCACAACAGGATTCAGTTGCCAGTCTTGGCCTACTAGCCCGCCTGCATGCTCACTATAACCTCCTTTGTGGATGCGTGATTGACAGATGTGAATACAAAAACTGCTTAGCTGTCCCAGAGTGCCAAGAAACATTTTGTGAACAAGTGAAATGCAAGGCAGAAAAGCACACAAAAAACCCTACAGATGACTGCAGAGTTTTGTTATTTCACTGTATCTGTGGTATGTTTGAAAGCACTCTTATCCATTCTGTCAGCTACAATGAGGCAGGCATCCAGAAATTTCTATTTTCAACTCTGTTGTCTCTCGTCGGGCTTTATCAATACAACATTCTTTATCCTTGACCTAATGACCCATTGCTATTACGTTCCGTGAATGTGGACACTTTTGGGTCTAGAAGAGAGAACAGGTTGCTGATGAAATGGCACATGGAAGAAATCTTGGTGCTAAATTTAGATAAAGCTTGACTTTAAAAAAAAAAAAAGGGGGGGGACATTTTCAAGCATGTGTTTCCTTTCCCAAGCCAGCCTGGTGTACATTTTAAGACTTAAAATGTGCATCAGGTATTGGTGGCGGCGTTGGAGGGTGGGGGAAGTATATCAGATAAACTCCAGATTGCCTGCCAATATGTGTTTGTTTAAGCCAGATCTTTCAGATAGATCAAAAGAGGCCTAAATTAGTTGTGTGATAACTGGGGATAATTGACTAGATCTAATTTTGTGCTTCTGGAAAAGCAAGATACGAGCCCATTCAGAAAAATTGTCAATATCTGCAAGGCAATCAATTGCATTAGAATTGAGCACTCTAAACAGTTGAGTGTTAACCCAGATGTAGGGTTTACCATTCCTTTAATGGCAGTAAGAGATTATATTAGTATATTCAATTACATTTATGAAAAGGCATTACAAACAGCAGCACAGCCTTTTCAACAAACTCGAAGATTAATACACGCACGCAAACACACACACACACACACACATGGTACAGAGAGAAGGTCTTTAATGAATTGACTCCAATATTTTTGAAGCCTGTTGTAGATTCATTTGTTTTTGAACAGAATTAATGCTGTATTAAAATAAATTCCTAATGTTTTCATTTCCCAAACGGGAAAGGGTTATGGGTGCATCACAAGATGGACAGAGATGGTATGCACTGATGAGTAGTTAGTGGTCACAAGGACTTTAATAAAAACTGAATTAATTTGCATTTGTGAAGGGATTATTTTTCTATATATGCTTTCACTTGATCGGGGATGATCTAACACTATTTATAGGTCTGTATATCAGCCTGCTCTCAGAATGGGAGTTTGTTTACTTGTGAACAATTTCAGGACTTTCTATAAACAGTATGTGTGGGGTCTCTGGAGACAGTTTGAGTATACAAAAATACAACACTAAGAAGACTATCTGTAATGTGAATGCCATCATCATGCAGCCCACTGAGGTCACATCATAAAGCATAGCAAAAGGGGATTGTTGAAAGCAGATTCATGGTGGCTCCCATGAACACTAAGTTAGTTGACCTTGAAGAAGAAGAGTTTGGATTTGATATCCCACTTTATCACTACCCTAAGGAGTCTCAAAGCGGCTAACATTCTCCTTCTCTTCCTCCCTCACAACAAACACTCTGTGAGGTGAGTGGGGCTGAGAGACTTCAAAGAAGTGTGACTAGCCCAAGGTCACCCAGCAGCTGCATGTGGAGGAGCAGAGACGCGAACCCGGTTTAGCAGATTACAAGACTACCGCTCTTAACCACTACACCACACTGGCTCACACCACACTTGACAACCTATTATCCAGGCTTTGGGGAACATTCTAGCTCAGGAAAGGTCTTAATTCCTTGAGGTGTGAGAAGCTTTTGCTCACATGCAGATTAATGTCCTTGCACAAAATTGAATCAGAGCTTTCTCAGGGAAATAAATAGCCTGGCGAAGACACCCTGGTCCCCACTTTCAGGTTAGCATCAGCGAAAGAAAGCGACTTGGAAACCCAGTGGGGGGAAATTACCTCGCAGCATTTGAAGCTGCTAATGTGAACTTAGGTAAAGGGACCCCTGACCATTAGGTCCAGTCGTGACCGACTGTGGGATTGCGGCGCTCATCTTGCTTTATTGGCCAAGGGAGCTGGCGTACAGCTTCCGGGTCATGTGGCCAGCATAACTAAGCCGCTTCTGGCGAACCAGAACAGCGCACGGAAACGCCATTTACCTTCCTGTCGGAGCGGTACCTATTTATCTACTTGCACTGGCGTGCTTTCGAACTGCTAGGTGGGCAGGAGCTGGGACCGAACAACGGGAGCTCACCCTGTCGCAGGGATTCGAACCGCCGACCTTCTGATCGGCAAGCCCTAGGCTCTGTGGTTTAACCCACAGCGCCACCCGTGTCCCTAATGTGAACTTAGTCTAAGTATTAATCACCACATTAAACTGAGTGGCAAATCTACCTGGACAAGTTCATAGAGCCTGTGATATAATAGTTCTTTCACTGAGCCTTTCCCTGTTTTGAATTTCCTTTGTTCATCCTTAATACATTTGAGACAAGAGTTTAAATCCATTGTCTGGGCATTGTCTTCCCTCCTGAGTTTGGAGTTTAAAAACTCAGCACCAGAGTCAAAACAGGAAAATCAGCCATATGGTTTTACTTATATGTGTATCTTGCATACTCGACCCATAAGATGCGTTAAAGCACATTTTTTCTATTTTGACTTTTCTTGCTAATCACTCTGCTCTTGGGGTTTTAAATACACTTGCTGCCTAGAGTCATTCCTTAGAACCAACTAATAAACATGTATTCGCATCCATAAGAGAGCTTGCAGGTAAATGTATCTCACTTTCATGCATTCTATTCCAACCAGCACTGAGAACATTTAATCTTGTGCCTGGGATAGGCTTAACATCTCATACCCTATCACAGCTATAAATGGAAATTTCACACTATTAGAAAGAAGAGGCTCTTAGATTTCCACTGTGACACCAGGGTTCATTCTATTACTGGAAGCACTTCATATTTAGAAAAATGTATATATTTATGATATTTTCTCCTTTATTATTTAAGTGCTAATCATGCATATTTGCATTAATAGACTGTGTTTATAGCCTTAAGGAGAACAAATATAATTTTCTACAATTATTTTAGCACAATAATAAACAACATTCCCAAGCTATGGGGAATACAGAATTATGATACAGTAAAAGGCTTGTTCCTTTTTTTTTTAATGAAATGTGCCTACCTGAGTATCATGTAAATGCTTGCCAGTCATTCTTTCTTCCTTTTAATTCTTCTCTTATTAGAAGAGTAAATATTGATACAACACGTTGGGCTTACTGTTCCTGGGTAAAAGAGGATTCATCAAGAAAGGGGATTTCAGCATCGTAGACAGTAGTTAAAGCAAAAGATTTGGAAATACGATGTGGGTTTGCATGCCAAAAGGCTTCTGTTATAAAGGCTGCAATCCTGATTGCAGTTATGTTGCTTAAATCCCAATGAAATAAGGGAATTAAAAATTAATTGAGCAGAACTGCAGTTCATATGCATAAACCAAAGAGTATTGTGCACTATCCTACATTGTTTTGCATGTTCCTGTAGCAGTTATAATTTTTGAAACTGAGGATGAGGAAATATCTGTGTTTTTAACTAGAAATACAAGGCACATTTCATTTGCAAAACTACTGAAATTTTGATATGAATACCAGGAGATTTTTATGCCCTTCTTTCAAATCCCCCAACAACTATTTATACCAAAATCTCAGTAGATTTCTATGTGAAACGTGCGTAGTATGTCTAGTTTAAAAATAAGGTTGAGGAACTAAAAAATAAGAAACATTTTTTTCCATGCAGTTTTTTTATTATTATTAAATTTAGGCATTAAACCAGGTTGGAAAACCCTTGTCCAGCTATTGTTGGGTTCTGACTCCCATCAGCCAGCATGTCCAATGATCAGGGATGATGGGGCTTGTAGTCCAGTAACATCAGGGGAGGAGGGCACCAGTTCCCCAGTTCTGCTTTAGTTCTTTTCTTAAACTAGGCAAAGAGAACCCATGGGTCTCCAGATGTTGTTGTGCCACTACACCTTTCATCATTCCTGACCATTGGTCATGCAGGTTGGTGCTGATGAGAATTCAATCCGACAACATGTGGAGGGCCAAATGTTCCCCATCGCTTCCTTACAGTGAAGCACAACCCTATGTATGGCCAGTTCTGTCCTGTTTCCTGGGAATGCTCTCAAGCTGGTATTGCCCCAGACCAATGCATACATGCAGTTTGGCTCTGCCGGGAGGTTGGGATGGAGGTGGACAAAATGAAGCAGGGCTCAGTGCTAATGTGAGGGGATAATTTGCCTCATTACGAATGTGCTGGAACATGCAAATGTGCAGTTCCAGTTATTTGGTTTGCTGTTAACAGTGCAGTCCCATGCATAATTACACAGATGTAAGTCTCGCTGTGTTCAGTAGTGAGCACTCCCAGGTAATTCTGTATAGTATTGTAGCTATAATCATGGGATTCCCCCCCCCCCCTTTACAGGAAGATTGTTTATATTTTAGTGCTTCATCCAGTTAAACTGTTTTATTAGGACAAGGGAAATATTATTGTTATTCTGCACCATCATCATTTTCAAAATAATGGTGTTCAGCTTTATATTCTATTCCCTTCTTTATCCACACATCTCACTATTTTGATTTTTTCAAATAGATTAGCTACTGTCTGGGGATCTTTTCCTTGTACCATCTGCTGTTTTTCATCTTGTGAAACAGAACCCTAAACATTCCTGCAGTGCCAATTTCTCTTAAGCTGCCATACAAATTACAATGGGGAGATATCACAGCCAAATCATATCATAACTAACTTCTATTGCCTAATCCTTATTAGCTGATAAACAGATATCTCCCCTGCCCAGTGATTAATGTGACAGCATCAAATATACAAATGATGCAACCCTAAACTCCCTTACCTGGGAGCAAGCCCCTTCTGAACTCAGTGGCATTTGCTTCTGAGTAGACACGGATTGGATTACTCTGTAAAAAAAAAAACCCCTTAACATATAACTGTCAACAATGGCATACAAGAGCCAACATTCAGACATTTGAGATGGATATTTTAAGTACAATTATCATCTTTAAAATTAGAACCCATTTGTATGTATAAATAGTGTACGCTCATATGAGTCTTAAAAATGTTCTTGCTGTGACCCCACTTTTCAGCCAGGCTCTTGATCTTACATGAAAATACTGAAAAGCCATATTTACATAATAAAACCAGCGTTAATAATAAGCAGCAGGACATACATTAGCATACAGATAAATGAAACTAGTAGATTTAAAAGGCCTGGATAGTGAAGAGAGAGAGAGAGAGAGAGAGAGAGAGAGAGAGAGAGAGAGAATTGGTTCCATTGTAGAATTGCTCTTACTCTCAATAAGTTTCTCTTCAGCCAAAATCTTCTATCCCAACATAAGCCCATTAAGTTGGCTATGTCTCTTTCAGGCAACAGAACTCAAGTCTTTGCCTTCTTCCAGGTGGCAACACTTCAGGTATTTGCTGTCATGCTTCACCTTACGCTTCTCTTTTTCATGCTAAACATATCCAGTTCTTTCAGTTGTGCCCCATAGGGCTTGTTTGCCATAGGACTCACCACCTTCATTGTCATTTGTTGCACTGACATAAGTGCTACCAGGAAACTCTGTCAAAACACTCAAGAGTTTTCTCAATCCATTTCTCAGTCCATCAGCCTTCGGGTCTGTGTGTGTGTTTCCCCTTAGCTATATATTAAATGTACTAGCTCGCTGTATGTTTATTTCAGGATACCCAAAAACCCAAATACATCCCTATATATATGCTTTGTAAGAAGAGATGTAAAGGAGATATTAAGGGCACCCAACCAAAGATAAACTATTTTAAGCCCCACTGATTTCAATGAGACAGTGATGAAATATTTGACTTTGAAATCAATCGGATTTACAAAGTGCTGAATTTGGTAGCATTGTGCCCCAAATATATAGCAAAATACCCAGTGGATTTTTGTATTGTATATTACATTAATCAGGCATTGACAATTCAATCCTATGTATGATGTGAGTATCACTGAGTACAATACAGCTTATTCCCCAGTACGTGTGCAGAGGGGTTGCAACCTGAGTTGATTAATTACATGACACTTTTTTCTTTCTTTTTTTGCAGATACTATTCCTCAGTCTCATATGCCTTCTCTTTCTCCTTAATTGCATCCAGGGAGCCAGAAACTGCTGAAGAAGTATATTTAGGACTCCTGAATTTCCCTTCACAAATAGCTCCAAAGTGAGATGCAAATCAAGTTTACATCCTCTACAATCTGGGCAGCCTGCTCACTTTTGAGGTATTCCATTAGCACAACATTCTCAGGCAATATACCCCGTTCTGCATCATTACATCTTGTGCACCGAAACTGCAGAAGCTGCTGACGACATCGTTTTTTAAAAGTGCATTTCACAGATACAAATTCCTGCTTCTGAAGTGAAGGTTTTCTTTTTCAAATAGCTGTCATGAACTTAAAAGTTACCCAAAGCTTGTATTCACATTCACAACTGTCCCAGATAGATAAGTTCTGGTCAATTACCAGATTTTTCCTTTTCCATTTTTCCTAGCAGTTAGTGACCTCGCCCATACAATAGGTGAGGGGATAGCCCTGCATTTTGGATTTATGGAAAGGCAGGTAGACTTTTTAACCTATTGCTTCTTTAGAAAACATTCATGAAATACATTTCCACAAGGACACTAGGTAGAACCACCTCAGACAGGCATCATATGATATGTGCCCAGGCCAAAATTTTAGAAAAGGAGGCAAGTAATGACTTCAAGCCTTAGAAGGTTTCTCCTCATAAAAAATAGCTATTTGGCTCACCATTTCTATAGACCTGGGCAGAGAACTGGGGGGTTCTCATGCACAAGCCCCATTGACAAGGGGTGTGGATCTGGCCATGCCCCCGCTTCTCACATCACAAGCAGCTATACATTCCATCAAGTACTTGTTGTGATGTACGTTACCTAATCCCTGCTTCAAGATTTTGAGGTACTAGTCGTTTCTATTCTGGACATTTTTCTCAATTGCTGCAAGATTTATTCACCACCTCTTTCTACAATATCTTTTTAGGTAGCAACTTGCTTGTCTGGGATCAAACACACTGGAAAATTAATTGGACTGAACCACAGCCAGAATGTAGTAACAGATAATGCGGTATAGGTCACGGAACAAAAACACATTGCTTTGTAACCCGATCAAGCTTTCTTCCTAAGGAATCAGTTCAGCTTCTTGTGGTTAGGATTTCTGTAGCACCCCCCCCCCCCGCCCTTGGTACAAGACACTAAACAGGAGTTTAAAGTGCCACTGAACTTCACAAGACCATCACATCATGCTACATCAATATGCTTTATATTAATGTTATTGAAATCTGACAGGTGGGAAAAGCCTGAAACTGCTGTTGGCTCTGTATTAACCTGATTACAGCAAAATAAAGAGAAATATGTCAATCCTTGGGGTTCCTCCTCACCCCTGCCATCCTAAAGGATACCTCAGCACTGCAAGGATACATACTATTTGGAAAGTACATCCATTGCACAGTCAACATAAAGTCAATGTACTTGTAACTGTATTCCAACTCTTGATGAGTGCAGTGAAAGCTACTGATCAGAAATATTAAAGAACTCAGTTGAGACATGGCCACCAGGTCTATCCCAAGCAAAGTGTACATTTATGGGAGCTCATTTTTATCTTTGAGATAGCTGTAGAGCGCATTCAGTCCTCCATCTATAATCTGTGGCAGTGGCTTGGACAAAGGGTTGTGCACAATGTGTAGCCCCTTATCCATTGGATTCCAAGCAATTTTTGGCAATCGGCGCAGCAAATAGAGTTCATCTGGAAGCATTTGAATGGAATTGTAATCAACATTTAGCAGTTCAAGAGCAGTGACTGAGCAGATAGACCTTGGCAAGCTGCGAATCTTGTTATAATCAGCAATCAAGATCTGCAGGTTGACTAGAAATTGGATACTGTCTCCAATGTTTTCAAGCTTGTTGCAGCCTACATGTAGAAAATCTAAATTCCGCAACGCAAAAACACTTAGGGGAATGTAAATGAACCGATTGTTGCTGAGGTTCAGCTTTCGCAGGTTTATCAGGTCTGTGATGCTCGAAGGGAGATGGGAGATGCAGTTGTGAGAGAGGCTCAAGACTTCCAGCTTCTTGCAGTGTCCGAGTTCGGCCGGTACTTCCGTCAAGCAATTCATGTTGACAAATAAAACCTTCAGGTTCCTGAGTAGCCCAATCTCTTTCGGCAGAGACCTCATGCGATTCCCACACAGGTTCAGCACCACCAGCCTGTCAAGTTTCGCCAAAGCAGGAGGAAGGACCACCAGCTGGTTGTGGGAGAGGTTCAGTTTCTGGACCTGTGGCAATCCCCACAAAAAGTCAGGCGTCCTTGTCATCCCTTTCATGATGAGGCTCAAGCTGACATACTGCAGTCCACGCTTCAGGAGTGCTCTTGGGTCTTTCCCAGAGAGGAGAGCGTCTTCCCACAGAGGTAACTTCTGACTCCTCTTCAACAGCATCGTGCTTTTCTTCTCTTGGTTCTTGGAGTTCCTTCCACCCATAAAACCTCCAGCTTTGCTGCTTCTGCTGAGCGAGGTTTTGTTTTATGGGCTTCTGCAACTAACACCTGGCAAAAGGTTTCAGCTTTCAGGAGGTTCATAAAAGAAGATCAGCCCAAGAAGAAGTGCAAAGACTTTGAAGAGCACCTTTCCTGCTAAACAGCCTCTGCAGCTGCTGAAAGAAGTTTCACTTTTCCAGGATGGGGCTTAAAGATGTTTTCCTTGGTGCTATCTGCTGTCATGACACGCTGGCGACTGACACTTCTGAGCAAACCTGTTCCATTCAAGCTGAATGCCACGAGGCAGCTGTCACTGTCATTTTGTCTGGGGCTTTATTGGAGAGATACACATCCTCATTGCAAAGAGGTCACTGCAGTGCTGTATATAACTTTACCATGTCAGCTTTCTTGGATATCTGGAGCATGAGGTAGCAGCAGGACAATTAGGAAGAGTAACTATAAAAAACATGGAGAGAGGATGATCCCCTCCCCTCTCCCAGTACTGTTTATTCAGCTGAGGAACAACTTTCATCATAACTTTAATATTTACAGCTGCAATTTTTTAAAAAGAGGGAATTCCACACATAAATTTTATTTTCAGATTCAATCTTGGAATGCAAGTCTTACAGGAAACCATTATTTATACCTAAACTAAAGGATATGATTCGTGAATTTTGACTCCTTAATACATATTTGTGGCTGACATGCATTCCCCCCCCCCCCGAAGAGTCCTTGCATCATTTTGGAACCAACTTCAGGCTTAGAAAATGGTCTCACTTCCTCCCCACCAGCTCTGCTCATTACCAGAACACTTCCCTTGCCATTCCTCCAACCAAACCACACTCTCACCTTCCTTTTTCTTGCTGGTCCAGCAGTGGCAAAAGCAGCACTGGCCTACGATCATCATGAGCCTTGCCCAACTTTGGAGGGTTTGGGCTCTATCTGAAATAGCTAATTGCTTTCAGAATGGGGAAAAATAAATTCCACTCCCCTCCAGATTGTGAATTTTAGTGCCATATCCACTGTTAAATATCCACTTTTAAGTGAACTTGTCTTGGATTCTTTTAGTACTGACTTGAAATTCTTGAATATCATGCCCCAGAGCAGTCTCTGAAGTGGAAGGCAATTGAGGGCAGAAGACATTTGAAACCGCACAGAAGCTATGCTATAGCGAAAGGGTTGCTTTATTGGGGTTCAATGGCATAGGAAGAGTAAACGAGCAGCTAACTTTCCAAAGCCCTACCTTATTCCAGGCAGGAAAACTGACAGATTTAACTCATGCAGTACATTTCTCTGAGCCCTGGCCTAAATCTGTAGGCATTGTGATGGGTCTCTCTGTATTTTGTTTTGTTTCTTCATCAATTTTATATCTTTGCCGTCCTCTAAGGAGCTCAGGAAGGCATACACAAATCTCTCCCCACCCCCATGTTAGCTTCTCAACAACCCTGTGAGACAGACTAGTTGAAAGACCCAGTGAGTTTCATGGCCAAGTGAGGATCTGGCCTTGGTTCTGTCAGAGTTTGCATTCAGACATGGGGGATATTGCATTTGTATCCTGATTATAGTGCTAGTGCTTCTATCCTGCTTTCTAATGTTCCTTTCTCACTGCAGCACCTGTTATGTTTTAGTAGGGTTACCATATTTCAAAAAGTAAAAACCAGGACACCCTTTAGAAAAAAGGAAGACCCCCAAATTGTTTTTAGTAAATGCTACAAGGATTTCTGAGTTTTGAAGGTTTTAAAATGCATTTTCAGCACAATTTAACTGTTGCTGGTTTTCCAGGACATTTTCCCAATTTCCAAAAAATAATCCAGGATGCCATTTTCAGAGGTGAATTGAAGGACATGTGTGTTTCTGCTTCCCCATGAAAATGGCAAGAAAGAACTGTATACTGGTATGGTGCCCCAAATTTCATCTTTACTCCCAAGATTTTCTGGGTTCATGATATTGCAAATGGATTTTTTTCTGACTACAATCCTACACCCACTTACTTGGGAATAAGCTTCACTGCACTCAATGGACCTTGTTTCTGAATAGACATGTATAAGATTGCACTGGTAACAATTTCTAAAAGTCAGCACAGTTAAACCCCGCAATTACTTCCTTTGGGTATAAAAGTGCTTAACTTTGAAAGGATCGTACAGATCTGAATGAGGACAATCAAGTTGACCGATTTGATTAAAATAAGCAGGAATGCACCTGCTTATTTCAGATAGTGCTTGACCACGGGCAACTACCGTGGAGAGATAAATCACATTTTGCTATGCAGCTGGGACTCCTATTCCAAAAAGGAAACACAGCCTAATGCTCTGAGAAAAGAATATGTTATCAACAGATTTTCACTTAACAAAACAAAACCACCCTTCCACAGGCACATAAGTATACAAGTGATAACTCTTTCTATATGGTTGGAAGACAAAGCCATTCTGAACAGCTTGCCTGGAGTCACACTACAGTTCAGTACCAACTTCTGACTTCCAGTTCCCTTCCCATCCCTTTCCTTTGGACCATGATTTCCTGAGGGCAGAGAAAATGAAAGAGAAGTTGAAAATTAATTGAGCAAATACAATCTAATTCTAGCTGGTATTAAGTTTAAAACAATTGCATGTTTCTTAAACTGAAAGCACCCTAGACTTGATGTTTGTTCCTCATAAAACAAAAAAACTTGAAAAAGGAGCAAATCAATTTGACCAGAAAGGAAGTGGATTCAGCCAATTGCATCTCAAGTTCATTGAAATAATGAATGAAAAGAACAGGCATGGAAGTAATGTAACCAAAGCTACTTCATAGGGTTAATCCCGGATTCATGACTGCTCTACAAATTTCACAGGCAGAAGTTAAAGAAACTCTGGAATATCAATAAGTCATTAAAAAAATCCAGACTGAAGGCAGACTTTATTAAACCATGTCCCACTTAGTCCATTATGGCTTTGTCTTGAATAGAGAATACTGACAGTTTATCCTTTAATATTTAAACTATTGAGTAGCACCTGCTAAAGATAACACATTGATGAGAGAATCCCAGTGGTCCACTGTAGCAAAATATGACAAGTTCTCAGCAAGTCGTATTTTTCAAGGCATTCACCCTCCACCAGTCACTGTAGCTTGCTGGTTTGTCTGCATCCCTGGTTCTGGAAAAAAGAAAAATACTGATAGCGGACTTCCTAAAGGCACCACTTTAGGGTTTGTCTATCATGTCATATGTGCTGTGCTGGCTCGCCAGATGCAGCTTGTCACGCTGGCCACGTGACCCGGAAGTGTCTGCGGACAGCGCTGGCTCCCGGCCTATAGAGTGAGATGAGCGCACAACCCTAGAGTCTGGCAAGACTGGCCCGTACGGGCAGGGGTACCTTTACCTTTACCTTTAGCATGTCATATAATGTTCCACTCTCCTTGGTTATCTCCCTCTCTCTTTAATTAGTGCCCAGTTCTGTCAAGTAGGAAAAAGTGCATGGCCATATTCTGAAGAGACAAGTTATAAAGCAAAAGTCTCTTTTGATCAGAAGTTGCCAATGGAAGAACTGGGCGATAAGCCATAGAGAGGTAGGAGCCTAGTAATTAGAAAAGAAAGTAAAAATTAAAAGAACAAAAATTTGAAAAGGGCAGAAAATCTTTACTTCTCTTGTCCGTACTGTTTTTCATTGAGAATGATCCCAAGATGTAGATTAAAAGGAACAAGAAACTGTAGCAGAATGGAGCCCAGCAAGTGGGAAGAACTTGGTCTCAAATATTGCACCTTCCAGTTTGAACAGATTATCTGAAACCATATTTTAATGAGCAGTTCAGACAGCTTTTTGCATTCATTATGTCTCTTCTCTGCATTTCTTCCACTGTCTTATACAAAATAAGAAACCCCATCCAGCAGCACAATATTGTACTTTTTGTACCATGAACTGAAGGAAATTTTGTTCAAGGATGGAGAGTTCCACCCACTAAAGGGGCCCTTACTAATTAAACAGTAATTCAGGAGGGGAGAACAAAGGAAGAAAGAGGTGCTGTATCCAGATCACTCTGCTTGGGCTGAGCCAACCTGGGCTGATTTAGTCTGGATCCTGCCAAATTCTCCTGATTCAGTTTGGGCAGATTTGGGTCACAGCCCTGATTTGTGTTAACTACAACTGCGGCTGTTCATGGACTGTGATAGCCTGACCTCAGTTGTCCATGCTCTGGACTGTTGCAAAACTCTCTATATGGGGCTACCTTTTTAGACAACCCAGAAGCTACAGCGAGTGCAGAATGCGTCTGCTTGGTTAGTGAGTTGGAGCAGCCTAATGAACTAAGTGTAGGGTTGCCATACGTCTGGAATTTCCCGGATATAGCCGGAATACTGCAGTCGGAAGCAGTGTCCAGGTGGAAATCGCAAAAATCTATGGGAAATTTCTGGCGTATGATAACCCACATTGGCAGTGTTGCTTTCCTTAAAAAAACAACAACACAACCCTCAACAACTTTTGTGTCTGAATTTTCACTTTTTGAAATATGGCAACCCTAGTCAGCCGTCCAGGAGCAAAGTACCTGAAGTACCAAAATGCTGCCCACCAATATCAAGCATCGTGGGCCTGATGATTGACAGGGAAGGCCCCATTGGTGGAATGTTGTGGAATGCCTTCCCTGGTCTCCCTCCATCCCTCCCTCCCTCCCCCCCCCATATTAAGATTTAGGGGGAATTTAAAACATTCCTATGCACCTAGGCATTTGATGGCCAAAAGGTACTGTTTGACAGTCTTGGAATTATTGTCTGTGAGGTTTTGTGACTGTTTTAAAATGTTTTAGATGTTTCTAATTATTTTTAAAATGATATATCTATAAATCTATATAAAATTTAAACTGTATTGTTTTACTACTTTGTTGTTTGTAGCTTCTTTGGGAGGAAGGACAGGACAGAAATTTAATTAACTAAGTGAAGCAAAAGTTAAAGCTTCGAAATACTGTTTAATGCCACAGTGTTTAAGCAGTGTACAATAGGCTTAAAGCAGAAAATCAGTTCAAATTAACCATAACTTCATAAGAACACTTAAAAATGTTGAAATCAAAATGTCTTTGCCATGCACTGGAATTTCAGCAAGGAGGGAAGTTCAATGAGGGGGTCTGCCTGGTCTTAATATTTGGAAGCATTGTTTTGATGGCACAAGCCTATGATCTGCAGGTGGCTGATATCCTCTCTCATCCTTTGGATCCAATGCTATGAAGTTTGTCAACAGCAGAAGGATTACATAGAAAGACAGACAAAGCCAGCCAGAGTATCTGAGGCATCACAGTCAGAGGTGCAGGGTACAAATTATAAAATTATAAAATTATTATTATTATTATTATTATTATTATTATTATTAAAACTTACTCACTGAAGAGGAATGCCACAGAGGAAGAGGATGAACCCGGCAACTCTAGTGCAGAAGGTGAAAGGTGACTTTGGAGAGGTTGAATAAACAGTTTTCTTCAGTGGCAATCAGGGAGGAGAGCAGCAGTAAAAGGGTGCTGTGTTTGACACTTACCAGGCAGTGTCAATCAAAACCTGTGAAAGATCATTTAGAGGTGAAGAGGCTGCACATAGCCTACAGAGTATCACCAATGCACAAATTGTAAGACCGTGGAAGAAATTTCTGTCTGAAAGCAACATCAATACCAGTCTGATCACATTCCTAAATGATGAGTGGCAGAAAAAAGATTATAGAGAGAAGCTGGGGGAGAAGGTGCTCTTCACGACAGTCAATGGGAAATCTGTAAAATAAAAAAGACAGCAGAAAGGAGGTGCCTTCTCCCTGGCGTATGCATGAAGAAGGGGAATGCAGGACTATGTCTGCATGCATCCCTTGCTACTGAATAGAGCTCTGCTTTGCTGAAACGTATGTATTGGTTATGTGCCTGGAATTTTGTGACAGAATTGTGGCACAATTGTTCCTGAAATGAGGTGGTACGACTTGCAGCACTCTGGAAAATCACCTCAAGGCTTGTATGTAGGGCTTTGATTAGGAAGTATGCACACACTGGATAGGATCATGCAAGTGCATTTGCCAGTAAAGGCCCAGTTCGAGATCCTTCTGGCACTTCCCTCCCTGCGAGAAGTGAGGTTACAGGGAACCAGGCAGAGGGCCTTCTCGGTAGTGGTGCCCACCCTGTGGAATGCCCTCCCATCAGGCGTCAAGGAAACAAACAACTGACTTTTAAAAGACATCTGAAGGGAAGTTTTAAATGTTTGATGTTTTATCGTGTTTTTAATATTCTGTTGTGAGCCACCCAGAGTGGCTGGGGAAACCCAACCAGGTGGGCAGGGTATAAATAAAAAGTTATTGTTATTGTTATTGTTAAAAAATAGTCAAATGCCCTGCAAAATTTTGGAAAACATTTTATGAGTTGGAGGAAGAGTGGAATCTGTAAGCTGACATAATGGAAAAAACTAGAGACAGATGCATGTTGTCTTTATACTCCCAAACTTCCTGGAGTGAATGTCAGTGATCTAAGGTACCACATGTACTTGAAAGGTAGAGAGTTACCAACTGCCACCATGCAGGGATTGTTTGATGAAACATGCCCAATGTGCAAACTATCAGGCTGCGATATGGAAAAGGTGTTTCAAGCAGGACTCAAAAACACCAAGGCCTGTTGGGAGGTGCTGGAAGTTGGAAGTCAGAGGTGCGACTGAGCACCTAGCTGTACCCTTGATGAAGGGCCTGTCAGGACCTGAGACTGTGGTCAGTCTACTATCCTGCAAGTGTGAGCTTTCAGAATGTGTGTGCATGAAAAACAGGCTCATGTACAAACTAACCAACTTTAGTAACCAGGACTTAAGTTCAGAGGACGGTGAACATTGATTTGAGAAGGAAAAAGGTGATAATTAGGATGACTAATTGGAAAATGAACAAGTCAAACCATATATGCCCCCACGACAAACTAAATAAACATTTCATTTAACATGTGAAATTGTGAAGTTTCTTGTGAAGTTGCTAAAGTTGACAGTGCCTTGTTCAGGAAGATAGCAGTGGGCTGGATTCAATTCTATGGCATGTCATAGGGAACATTCCCCTGCTGGCATACATGCATCATTTGAGGGTGACCCAGTGCTTAGTTTTTCATAATTGTGGACTGAGGTTCTTTTGCGTTAATGTACTTTGCATAAAACAACACATCCCTCCCCCTGCCCAGAGAATAATGGTGGACCATTGATGGAGGTGCACAATGTGGGGTACTATAATTCATATTTTGTGGTGTTGAGTCAAATAAATGATTTAGGCTATTCACACAGCTCTTTGTTAAATAAGGGTTTGGGAACCAGGAAGCAGCTTCAGCATCATAAAGAACAAATAACTGCAAGGCCACTTCCTGTCTTCTCACTACTGAGGTATAAATCTTGTAAAAAAACCCACACTCAACTTGATTCAGCATACATGGTACCAATTTCCACCCGTGTACTATAAGCATGAAAGTGGCCAATCTCTATATTGTGTATCCACACATATTTTGCAGGGGAAATATTTCATAGTAAGCTGGATATTTCTCACATTTTGTGGACAACATTTTACCGATGGATTCTAGCATTATGTACAGGTATGTCATTATTATGTTCCTGATGATTTCCACTACTTGAGAAATGGTTCGGTTCAGTTTTATTTCCATATTGGCCATAGGCCATATTATGTTCCTGATGATTTAATGTTGAGAGCATGGTAGATTTGTTGCTGTAATTTTTCCTCTGCCATATATTTTGCTACAAATTGTAATTGCTTATATAATCTCTCTGAGACATGCTGCTTTAACAGTGCAATCAAACAGTGCCATCTAGTGGATATCTATGCTTCATTCAGAAGAAAAAGTCCGAAGCATTTCGTGAGGAAGATTATTTAAGCAAGCTTCCAAAAGAATTGAGAGACAATCGCGTAGAGCAGTGGTTTCCAACTGGTGGTCTGAGAACCCCAGTGGGTCTGTGGCACCATTCACGTAACAAAAACTACCTAAGAGATATCAACATTTTCAAAAGCTTGCCTTGGCTTTTGAAAAACAAGGGGTCTGCAGTACTTAACTAACTAGGAACCACAGGTGTAGAGGAAGGAAAAAGAAAAAGTTATTTTAACTATAACTGGAATACAGTGCAATAAAAAATATCTACCCTTTGCCAAATACTGTTACGTTTGTCTTTTTGTTAAATACCTGACAAACTAATAGATTAATTATTACTATATAGCCATTAAAAATCTGCACAGTCTGCTTCATCAAACTTGAAATCCCAGGGAGCAATGCAATCTCTGTAGCACTAGAGCAGGCACCCCCAACCTGCGGCCCTCCAGATGTTTTGGCCTACAACTCCCATGATCCCTAGCTAACAGGAACAGTGGTCAGGGATGATGGGAATTGTAGTCCAAAACATCTGGAGGGCCGAAGGTTGGGGATGCCTGCACTAGAGAGAACCTTTAGAAATGATTGTTTCAATTGCTGTCCTCACTTCACTGTTCTGCTGTAAAACAAAAGCTTCAACAGGAGCACTTGCTCTCTCCACTGGGAAGTCCTCCTTGAGCCATCAGGAATCCATTAAATTCCATCAACCTCCAAGGGCAGACCATCTGAACAGGT